AAATAATTAAAATTTGCTTATAAGCTAATTTAATAAATAGAATAACTTTTTTAATTTACCACAGTAATAGTATATTACATACCTAGGCCAGTAAAATAAGAAAAGTCTCAGACCACATGTAATTGTTGGCCGAGGTGAAGCCGAGGTTGACAAACATGTGGTCTGAGGTTTTACTTTTTACTGGCCAAGGTGTGTATACTATTTTTCTGCTCGACGTAGCCGGAATGTGGCGACTTTGTTTAGCGCAGCGGCCAGAAAGTTGCCATTTTCCGGCCGGAGCAAGAAATAGTATATTACATACCTAGGCCAGTAAAAAGTAAAGCCTCAGATCACATGTTTGTCAACCTCGGCTTCGCCTCGGCCAACAATTACATGTGATCTGAGACTTTTCTTATTTTACTGGCCTAGGTATGTAATATACTATATAACTAGATTATTATTAATGCACTATTTAATAATAACATTACATAAATGATTCATATAAAAAGTTTATATAAAATAAAATATAAGTGTTTTGTGGACTTTATTTGCTTTCTTTTATATTTTGACAGCTAGTCAACCAATGTTTATAAAATAATAGGTACATGGACTCTACAAGCTTCTAATCATTTAATTTCAATTTTTCTTCGCCGTCGATTGTTAACTAAAAATTAATTTTTACTCAACTCAAAAAAATAAATTCTGTTATTAGAACGATTAAATATTTGAGCCAAGATCTGTGAATTTTATCACTCTACACGGAGAAAAAAAAACAACACTGCTTACTACTTTGTGCAGTACTCACTACTGCTTTGGAAGAAAATGAGGTTAGAATGGTTGGTACAGTAGAGAGCGCTACATAAGAACTACTGACTATTGTCTGTACACTACTGAGTCGTGTTCTGGCACGATCCAGTCGTGTTTCGTACAGCGCTCACTACTGACGATGAACATTTTTCTAATATTTATACGAAGCAGTAATCATTGCTGTTTTATTTTCTCCGTGTAAATTAGAACAGTTGCTAGTAAACTTTAGAATAACTTATTTTTTTTTTTTAATTTATTAATTTTTACTTTTTTTTTGTCCGCCCCGACCAGCAAAGCCTCGGCTTTGCAAAAGTCGGGCGGCGCCCCCCTCGCACCCGGCAAAACCTCGGCTTCGCTTCGGCCATCATATCCCATACGCCAGGAAATCCAACTTTCTGGCCTAGGGTTGTAATATACTAATTTATTTATCTTAACATAGTTTATATACTTTTCATTAAAACTCGTTTTCATCATGTGGTTTTTAAAGTAGCTACACGGAAAGAAAATTGTACGAAAAATTACAATGGAAACATAGTAATTTTTAGTATAGAACATTGTAGTGCCGGACCAGAACTCAAACATTATAATTTATACAATGCAACATCGTAAATTTCTATCACTCAAATGAAAAAAAGAAGTTTAGTTCACCGAAAAAATAATTCCGTGTCACCGAGGAATCGAACCTGGTATTTTCTCCGCTACAGGCCCAAGGTTTATCCCCTTACGCCATCAGAGGGAATATCTATACTTTTTATTCAGTCACATAATAAGGTATCAGGCGTTTTGATCCCCCGGCAAAATATCCCCGGACAAAATATGGTTTTTCTGAAATAATAATATAATATATATGAAATTTATTATAATTATTAAATTATAAATTATAAATTTATAATAATTTATAATTATTATTTCAGAAAAACCATATTTTGTCCAGGGATATTTTGTCGGGGGATCAAAAATCATGGAACCACATAATAAGACCCTCCATACAGTAGTTGGTCATCTTTCGGTGGTGGCGTCGCAAACTACTAGACTCTGTCTCTCTTTTATTAAAACATATAGTATGCGTCCTTATTCACCTGCTCTTACGGAAAAAAAATTTACTAAATAACATCGTAATTTTCAATAATTCAAATTGTATTCTGTAGACGGCAGCATCGTAAAAATCAACATACTAAGAGTCTAGTCCTGGATTACGATGTTACCAATATAATTTTTCATAGGATTTTTTTTCCGTGTATATGGGCCGAAATTTTGCATCAAATATATAATTTACTTATTTTTAAAATAATGGTTCAAATACAGAGCTCCACCGTTCTTCGGACATAAAAAATCGAAAAATTGAGGCATCAAAATAAAAAAGTTTTTTTTTTTTGTAACGCATTTACAAATCATGATTTGGATTTGTAACAATGTATTTATTAAAAATTTATGAAATTCTATAATTCAATTTTTTTCGTAAAAAAATATCTATTTGTTTCGTTTTTCAGTGATCCTTTTCAAATATCACTTTATAGAGTATCATGCTATTCTTAGTCATGATATCATGATTTGAGCATTTTTTTATAAATTTTCCAAAAACTTGTAAATTTTGACATAAAATCAATGTTTTATATGTAATGTGATAACTGTTCGATATTTTGACATTTTTTTATACTCTGTTTCAAGAATAGAATTTAAAAAAATTGGTTACATTCCAATTTTCACAATGTTGTAAAATTTAATCAATTACCGAAAAAATTAATATAAAAATAAAGTTCATGAAATAATCATGGAGCTAAAGATTCTTAAATTACAACTTTCGATTAACCTGTCAATGGCGAGTTGCTAGTTAACAGTATAGTAATTTATTATGTGACAAATTAACTGTCAAGCAACATGAAAAAATAAGAAAAAAATGGTTTATCTCTTAACAATACTGAAGTTTCGATTAAAATTATAATAAAAAAATAGTAAAATGCTCGAAGTAAAACAAACGTCAAAATAGTTGATATCCATGTAAATGTATCTGTATGAGATATGTGTGGATGCATATAAAATTTAGCTAATAAAAGATTAAAGTAATTTCGCCGAGACTTGATATTGAATTTTCATCCAACTATCAAACATAACGAAGTGGACATCGTCAGCAGACTCGCAAAGCAAAATTCAATTGGTAATCAACTCACCTGAGCACCAACAAGTCCGGCGCGCAATCTCGGTATATCCGTGTGACTCCAGTCGGACCTGGCCCAGGGGTCAATTCTGCCCAGGTCACTGCTGAGATTCACCTCTCCTAGTTGATTGTGCACAAACTTCCTCACGTTCCAGGGCAAGTCATTGTGCCTTTATCACCATAAAATTATACAAACTCCAACTTTATTAATAAATTCATTTTTATTATAATTGAGAGCGTAATTACCCAAACTTTAATCACATTTTATTTACTTCATCATTTTTTTGTACAAATTAATTATTATATTGGATTAATAAATTCTATTGGAAAATTTTTTGATAAACTAGTAAATAAATTTATCAAATGCTAGTAGTTTGATTTTTTTTTCTGTTTAACGTATGAAGAAAAATAATAAAACATTGATATTGAAACAAATTGTAATTATTCTCATAGTAATTAGACTTAAATGGTTTAAAATGAACAGAATAAGCTATTTAAACGGACTAGATTATTATTTTATGTCAAAATAATCGGGGAATCGTAGTTTAATTGTTAATCATTCGGTATTTAACTGCAGGATTCAATTTATGTAGGATGAAAAATTCAATGAATAAATTATGAACTATCGTGAGCGAATTGTAATGTGATGATCAATTAGCGACTAGTTAATAATTCAGACAATGCGAGGTTGTCTAGTAAATTTTAGTTTATTTAAAAAAATATTATTGCTTCTCTGAAATTAGAATTCACCGATAATTAAATGGTATTCACCCGCAAAGAGTAATTGCGATTAGACAAATGAATAGTTAAATAACAAATCAGTTAACTAGTCAACATGAAATAATTGAATTATGGTTAAACAAATCAGTGACTTTTAATAATTAGTGTCATTATTATATATACTTTAAACCTGTACTTTTAATAATGTAGAATAGTTTGCATCTTATTTTCTCTCGTTTTCTAGATTTTTATTAGTATCTAACCTGTAATTATCGTTTAATAAAATGAAAGCTGTGATTTCTCAATGTTTTATGAAAAAAATGTCGAAGTTCAGTAATCAATTTTATCGAAAATTTATGTTGAAAAATAAGAAAAATGTGCATTAAAAAATATTAAAATTCAATAAAATAAATATTAAACTCTATGAAACATGTACAGAAAATAAATAAAATATATATGAAGATCGGCTAATTCTACACATCTGTGATGTATATTTTATATATTGCAACACTTACTTTTGATATAAATTTTTTTCATCAGAATATCTTACACTACAGCATTTATGTGTTAATTTTTAATTATGTGTTTCCAAAATTTGACTCAATTTTTTCGTTAAAAAAAATTAATGAACTCTTAAATTTTAGCCGATTGTTCCCTATAGTTTTTCACATTAACAAACAATTAATCAATTCCCCGTTAATTAAAACAACAAACTGGAATGAACAATAATAATAATAATATTTGCATTAGAATCTAAAACACCCGTGATTGAACGGTTCAGATAAAATCAGACTAGTAGACAACAACTAGAACGAGATAATATAGCTTACCCATCAATCAGAGGCACTTCAGTGAGAATTCTTCGGATAACATCGAGCCTCTGTTCGTGATTGGCAGGGGCAGTTTGTAGTATAAACGGTAGACAGAGTCCTCCCAGTAGAAGAGCACTTATCAGTAGTAATATCGGTGCTAAGATCCGACATCTGCGTCTAGGACTCTGGTCCCTCTGGTCCTTGCTGCTTCCAGAGCTGGGTGACTCCTCACAAGTTGGCGGTAAACGCACAGTCCCGTTGCAGGGCGCTACGTCTGGGAGTTCTGTTAGGCACGTTGTCTGTAATACACCAATAATAATGGCTATCAGCGTTTGATATAGTTCGCCAGTCAATAATAATACTCAATAGTACTAAATAATAGTTTTAGTTATATAGACAAGGTAGAATCGATAATCTGATGAATAGCTTGATAATAATACGATCATTCGGAACTGCGGACAAAAGCCCAACGGGATAGACGCTGGCTGGCTTTAAAGGGGCAGAATGGATAATAGTGCTAGTACTAGCAGTAGAGTTACTGCTAGAATGCTTTGGTTCGTAGTAGTTTGAGTCATAGTTATAGCACTGATACTGGTACTGGTTGTTGTTTAACTAACACCGTACTACGTCTACCTTCAGTTATGTAGTAATGGTGATGATGGTGGTGGTGGTGGTAGGTTTGCCAGACGTGTTAACTTGTTATACACCTCATCGTGTAACAGTAAATAGAGCATAATAAAGTGACAATTGAACTGGTGATTCAAGATTAAATCTAAGACACAGTGGTAGTTTGGGGCCTAGGTAGTAGATGGAGACATCTTGTGATATGGTTGACTAGATGAAGAAGAACTTTGTTCGCTGATTAGTCTACGGGAGACTAATTCAACTAATCTGATACAAAGCTACGAGATCTAGTGCTGAGCAGCAGCAAAGTCAAGGACCCCGACAAGGTAATGCCTGGAGGAGGCGGAGCTGCCTTCTACTTCAGGAAACTGGTACTTGTGTACATGGGCTTTGTTTCTTGTGTCACTCTTGTTAAATTAGTCAGTTGTTACTCTGGTACTGCTGGAGATGCTGTTACTGATGTTGATGCTGATGCTGCTATTGGTTTTATACGACCCGCCGATTTAATTAGTAACTTTCGGGATATTGTATACCAAAGTGGTAATAAGGTGAAAACATTTATCTTAACCGAATTATATGAACCAGGATTGTCCCTGCTTTTATCTTATCAGGATAAGATTTATGTGGATCATTGATTTTATTAGAGGTGGTTTAATCAAATATATAATGGCAACCCATTTTTGTTAACGGGTTTTTAATAGCTTGACTTGTATCTATCTATAGAACGGAATCTTTAAACGTCGTTTTCACCAACTTCAAGATGTCCGATTAAATTGAGAACCTTAGTGCGTTTAGACCCGGGTCATCGGGATGAAAAATAAAACCAATTATACAGGTTAATTATATACTGTTTAAATAGAATAATTGTAAATATTGCCTGTCTTTTAATTTAGTAAACTATCACAATTTAACGCTTTTCGTTTTTACATATACTACATAATTTCAAAACATAGAATAGCTGAAAAAACTAAACAATACACTTTCACAGCAAACTAAACTAAAAATTAGAAAATAATTTTTAATGACTATAGTCATTTACTAAAAAAGTTGTCAATAACTGATGCATTCAAAGTTAATCTGATGCTATTTATTGACAGGCATTAAAAATTAATCAGCTTAATCTGGTTACCATGCGCAATAAAATGTGAACTAATTACGATATTCTGGAACTGCTTATGAAAATATAGATGTGGTCATTAAATATGGGATTTTTTTAGTTGGCAAGGTCAAAAAGTTTGTGTTATAAATAATAATAATGTAATATGTTTTCAACGTATTTTTTAAAGCTCCCTATATATAATACAAATTATGTAGAAAACAAATCTGTAAACCACACGGAAAGAAATTGTTTTGAAACATTACCATTAAATTCACTGTAATCGTGGGATATAATGCGGCCCTTTTATTTATTATCATGTTTTAAATAAAAATTACGAAAAAATTCATTTATTTTATGGTAGACTTCATCAAATTTACCGAAAACCTCATAAAATTTACAGTAGACTTTGGTAAAATTTGTTGAAAAAAAGTTCTAAATTATCTCACTTACCGTCAAATGATTAGGTCTTGCCATCTATCCCACGATTACCGTGAATTTAACGTTAATTTTAAAAGAAAATTTTTTTTCAATGCAGTTATAATATAATTGAAGCCAAAGTACAATAACACTTAACTAACAAGAAATTGAATATTTGAATAATCAGTGCATAGAAGTAACTTCTGAAAATGTTTACCATTACCGTAAATTTCAACATTATATGAACGAAAAATAACTAATACTTTAAAAACTTCAAGAGCTAACAAACAGAATAAGATGCATTGAATTAAAAGTTAGTCATTTATAAAGACATAAATAATAAGGCGAGTTAACCTTTTAAGGTTTCACGATTGATAAATTGCGTATTTATCAAAATTTTTTTAAAAGCATATTTGAGTGCAAAAATGATTGTTAAATGGAAAAAACTTAAAAAAAAAAAATCTTTCAATAATTCTTGATTAGACATTATTGTTTAGGTATTATGATCTAAACGTTAATACAGTAATTTAATTTTTAAAGAAGCAATATTACAATTGCATGCTATGAAATGACTATAAAAAATTTTACAGATGCAAATCGAAAACATTTAAGAGATAAATTATACTTTACAGAAAAAAAAAACGATGCATGATTCTTGTTTAAACAAATAAATTTTAATTGATCATTAAAGATGAATTTAACCCGTTAAGAACACATGGGGTCCAGTGGACCCCAGGCGAACTTTGAGGCAATTTTAAATTTAGAAGGAGATTTATAAATGAGTCTTAGTGTGCAATCTGTTATCGGTTGAAATCTACGCAATAAGTTGTGATACGTCACAAAGGTCTCCATGCTGTTAGCCTCATTTTAAGTGACCGAAATTCGTAACTTCAACTTCAGAATAAATATATTTTTTTCAAACTTCATTAAATATTGATTTTTTTCGGTATCGTAAAAATCAAAATTTCTGCGACTTTTTTTATAAAAAAAGTTTAGTTTTTTTTCTAAACGATTTTTTAGTATTTTTAAATTATTAGAAATTAACAATAGCTAGTAGATATTTAGAGGGAATGTTATATTAAAGTTTGGTGCCAATTATAAGTCAATACATCACATAGGAAATGAATTAGAACTGTTTTGCTGAGTGTCCTCAACCGGTTAAATCAGTAACGATTGCTTTAAAAATATTGTTTTGTTTTGCTTCAATGTCATTTTACCTTGGAGAAATTTTCCTTTTTAACTCGCTCATAACTTATAAATTTTATCGGCATCAATATTTTACATATAATGCCTGCTGCTAAGCTATTTGCGTAATAAATGTTGATATATATTGTCAATAACTTTAAAGAAATTGTTTTTCTAGACGACAACAATCGAGTTTATACAAACGATACTTGTTCTACCAACTGTCTTCTTCTCTACAGTTTTTAAACTAAATAAAATACGTACAAAGTAGTAAAAAAGTCAATAATGCAAGACTACATAACAGATATATCATGTATGAACAGTGAAAGAAAATGATGTTGAAAGAATAAATACTAACGAAAAAATAAAAATGTAAAAAAAAAAAACGTATTTGAGATGTACAAAGTGGATACCACATTTCAAAGTGTAAAAGGCTGTAGCCTTATCACTTGCATCACTTTGATCTATCAAGTGGTGTACAGTATCTTCTCTAGTTTCTATTTCAATGCTATTTCAAGAGTATGGAGATCTTGTTGCATTTTTACTACTCTCATTCATTTATATATGCAGGAAACTAGGGGATGTTGGAATGTGGTGTATGTTTTATTTTATATATTGTATAGAGAGAGTCTGTCGGATTTTATTACCAACAATGGAGACAGCAGGTTGCCGCAGCTAAAGCACTCGAGTTCCTCGATATGACTTACTTTTTTTTTTCATCATTTTCTTATTTTATTTTTGTTTCTTTTTATTATCCGCTTTACCGTTTTATTTGTTCGTTCAACTGCAGTATTATTTTTTGTTCAATGGTATCGATATTTCTATTGCTTTAATCTCTTTCAAGTATTTGCATTGTTAAATCTGATTGATAATCACTTTTTAGATTTTGAATTATAGATTCATGGGCTAAAGTTTTGGCAGCAGCGGTATTTTGTAAAATAAAATTTGAATCGATAGTTCATTGTTTTATATGAGCGTGAGCATGAGTCATGATGAAAAGAATTTTCGCAAACACTAACTGTCACATTTTTTTATTTTTCAACTGGACATAAATTTAACTCTGGATCTGAAAAAATACAGTGATATTATTTTTTACGAGAAAATTTATTTTGAAGACTTATAGCTTCCGCACAATTCAAGCGACAGCTTTTGTTGTCTGGACACTTTTAAAATAGACTCCATTCACTACCAAGTAAACCAATGACGATAAAATATTGTTGGATCAAGCTAGGTAAGAATTAAAAAAAAAAAATCACGTAGCTTAACAAAATATTATTGAATTATAAAAGAATGTAGACATTTTTTTTCTAAGAAATTTCTTTTTATAAATAGTTTAGAGAAAATTTGTTTATTTTAAATGAATTTAAATCATTGAATAAATCAATAAGAATTTGAATCAAAATGGATTTAGAAATTACAATGATTAACGGAACTAAATGACTTGCAAATGACAGTAATTGAGACTAAATTAGTTTCAAACTAGCAGCAAAAACAAAGATCGTGATATTTAGAAATGGAGGAAAAAATAAAGAAAAAAACTGGTATTACAAGAAAGAGAAGCTGGAAGTAGTCAATGAGTTTAAATACCTGGGATACATATTAACAACAAAAAATAGCGCGGAGAAGCATATGATGGAGATGAAGAATAAAGCAAATAGAGTAGCAAATGCAACATGGGGCCTAATAAAGAGAACAGAAAGGAACAATATGAGAGACCGTAGATACCTGTATAGCACACTGGTGAGAGCAGGATGCTTATATGGAGTGGAAACGTGGGGATGTGAAAGAGTGAAAAAAATAGAAGTGATACAAAACAAATTAGACAGGTCAGCGTTAGGTGTGGCAAGAAATACACCGAAATACATAATAAGAAGAGAGATAGGAGATGAGGAGATTAGCTGGATAATTATTGAAAGATTTTGGAGGTATGTAATAGAGATGACAGAAATGGAGGATCAAAGATGGCCGAAAATA